CATCAAAATTTTCAATTTAACAATAAAAGTTGGTTCGCAATTCTGTCAGTAAGCTTCATAAATATACATCTTTGCTCTTAGTTTTCATGTTTTCAATCACATATAGCTCTCAACTGTAAAGGGAACTCTGTAAGAAAGTTGCAGCATTGCACCTGCAGAGCACCGGTGAAAGTTGCTATTATTTGTAGAGGTAGTATGCCGCCTTTTGACCGATTAGTGCAAGCAGAACATCTCTGGTTCATGATATCCACTGTATTCGCAGCTTTTCAAGCCTAGCCATAGAAGGCTCTAGTTAATGAATGGCAGAAGGAAGTGCTTCTCTCTGAAAGCAGATCTGTTTCTATCATATTCCTCCATCGTGCATGCTGGCCTCCTGGATGACGACTGCCCTAAATTGCGCTCTCGCGAAAAAGAAACTCATGAGCTAAAATAAATGGTTTATGCTCAACCGGTCAGCCTAACAGAGAAAACACCATTTTTAACCTTACATATGCTGAGGTCATCGATGCCAGTTGGAGAATGGAGTCATTCTTGACGTTGTCCCACCATTCAATTCTCACTCTGAACCTAATCCGACGATATTATTCGCAGTTCAACTGACTTTTTTGGTCCTTTGTTAGAGCAGCAGTTTCCATGACATACAACAACACTGACCAGGCCGAGGATCTTGTAGCAAGAGGCACGCACAATCCTTTCTGAGCCCAAATATTGCAGGCATTTCCAAACCTATTGGAGCTTTTAAATGACGAAGCCAAGATATATAAGTTGGTCAACCTGTTGAAACACTCTATCTTACTGTTCCACTTGCAGATCAGCTGTCCTGGGTGTGTTCCGCATAACTTTTGTCTTCCGGACATAAAGGAAAAGTTCAGCTTTTGTAGCTGTGTTATAAATGAAAGTCGTCCGGCAAAAGAGACCGCTTCCCAAGCTGTTCAACAGAACAATATCATCTATTTACTCCAGATCAGAAAGATATCTAGTCGGATATTTTGAGCTGCACCTTACTTCTAGAATGAGACCACCTTCTTTGCCAGGGTCAGCAGTGTTTTGAAAAAGGAAGCTTCGAACACTATTGAATATCAAAGGCAAAAACCACATGGGTGCAAAACTGTGGCAAGTACAGCATGCAGCCTCGTGCTCATCTTTCGACAAAGTGGCTTATTCGAATGATGAAGGGCGACTGGCCGAAATGTGCTTGAGTCCAGGGTCTGGCGACTCCAAGTGAGGTGATCTAGTGATTCAGAAATCGCTAACAAGTGACCAGCGAGGATGCTTGTCAGGCTGAAGCATCGAAAGCGCCGTCGATCAATTCAGAGTGATTGTCATCGGCTAAAACCCACTGCCAAAACGGTATGATTGATATGTTTTACTGAACAACCAGTTTGACGTGTTCGTTCGTGCACTTCCGCCAACATCGGATATTCGCTTGCCAACGTCGCTGAGGTTGCTTTTATGAGGCAGTGTTTCGCCGCTGCGGCCCACCTGACTGCAACACGTCGATCACGAGTCGTGTTCGCATCGATGATTTTTGGAGCTGATTGCACACTCAAGTGTTTATTATGGACGCG